AACACAAATAGGGGTTTTTATTTTTAAGTTAAAAATAAATAAATATTTGACACCCTTACTTTGGTTCATATGACTGTCCAGGAGATTTTTTTTCCTAGCAAAAAAGTATAATTTAACTAAATATATTTATATAAACATTAAGCCAGGCAAATTAAAAGTACAACAATACCTGTCAAAGGATCGATTGTGGGAAGTGACTCTGCTGCCTTGGATTTCTCTGGTCAAATGCCATATCACAGAGAATCTGAAAAGTGCCTCCAGCCTTGTCCCCTTTACAGAAGGAAAAAGAAAAGACAGGAACTTTTTGATTCTGTGATAAATGTAGTAAGTTTAGTGAATTTAAAAGGCTCTAGTAAAAAACAATGCTTATTGCATAGATGACTTCTAAAATCTTAAGACTTCTGCACCTGTTTTTCATTTCTAGACAGGATTAACACACAATGCCATTTTCTTGCCATGCACTCACAACCCAAGGCAATCAAAACAAAAAAGCACCTAGTGCACAAAAAAAGCTGATGATTTCAAAGAAAAGACATGTTTGGAATTCCCATTTACAGTATTTTAATCTCTTGAGTTATTGGGGGTTGGATGACAAAGAAGGGTCATACGAAGGGACTGTTATTAGTGGGCAGACCTTACTGAGGATTTATCATCCCTGAATGTGTATAAGAGTCTAAAATATAGGTTTCCAAACTCTTGACTATTCAGATACCCACAACCCCTGTATGGATCCTAATATATAACAAGTTTCAGAATTGTGAGAGCAGATATATATAGATATATCTATATATAAAATGAATCACAGAAGGTTTAAGACATTGGTTATATATTAGCATCATGCTGTGACCTTTTATTTAACTTACATGTTAGCTGTCAGAAAAACTAAAAGAACTGATCGATCTTTAAAATAGGGAAATGAAATTGCTAAAGGGAATCTGCTCATTTTAAATATAGTTTGACTATGCCTGGTCTAGGAGCCGTTCAATGCTGTCTCCGACACAGGGTCAAATGACTTATCAGAACATAAGGTTGGGAAGAATAAGTCAGTGTCCAGCCCAACTTGTTTTCAGACTTACCGTGGATCTGGAAAATATTTAGAAATGCTGTGAAGGACTGCTAATTTTGGAGAATCTGTGATTTTAGGGAAAGTGGATAGCATCCAATGACTAAGATGGGTCCTATGTTGATTCATCCAGAGACTCTGAGGGAATGCACCACAGGGAGGAGTGAGAGATTCTCAACTGTGGTCTCTAGAGAAGCAGGGGTTGAGAAGCCCTGAAGCTGTGCGGCCAGGGAGCTGAAGGTTGGCTGGAGCTACAGGTAAAACACTACAATAATGAGGCAGCCTAGGAAATACAGGACTTACTTTATCGTGATCCAATAGCGTATGACAAATAATATCTTCACAAATATTAGCTGATGGAGCCAAGCAGTGCAGTCTATAAAACAGCTCCACACAGGTAATGTGGTGCTCCCTTGTCTCTTTGTTCAGCTGATTCCAAAGTACTTGAGCGACTCTCTAGGGGAACAGATAAAATAAATTGTACCAGTCCCACTGGTTTAAAAGTTTGGTATAAACACTAAAGTGTTCTGTATTTGTGAAAAGGGTAGTTCATATTTTCCTATCCTGCATATTCTCAGTTTAGGGAAGTGCAAGAGGCTGATACATAAATCCAGAACTAGGGGAACACAATAGCACTGTCCTGGAGTTGCAATCAATTCATGTCTGTCCACTAACAGGTGAGGAAAGCAGAGTTCTGCTTCCATTTCTAACTTTAATCCCCACCCCAAACATGCAGAATTCAGATGATGTAAACAATACTAAAAATTGTAACACAAAAGCAGCACATAGGTAAGAAATGGAACACCGGGATAGTTTTACCACTTTGGCATACAAAGAGGAACAAGGTTGAAAGAAGTGGTAATGTGATAGAGCCATCTTTGCCTCACACGACTAAACAGTAGCTCCCAATTAAAGTTTAAAAATTTAATTTAGAATCTCCCCCCCCGCATGTCGTTTTAAAAAGTAACTAGCTGCTTAGACATGCCCTTCTCCTTCCAGCTAAGCCTCTCAACTGCCCTTCACATTACCTATTACAAAGAGTTGAGAGTTGACCTTGCACAGAAGCAGAGAGAAATAGTAAGATAACCTTACAGCTGTCCTTAGAAATATTCCTATAAATAATCACAACATATTGCAGAATAAAAAAAAATGACTATGGTATTTGATCAAAGAGGCACCCACTGGATTTAGATACAATATTTTGTCTATGAATAATATGGATGCTGATTGTCCAAAGTCATAATCCAAATGAAGATATCCTATCTATGTTTAAATCTCCAGTGACGCACAGGTATAACATTTCCACCTTATTACCAGAGTATATAATTTAGATAATGGTATCCGGTCTCTTTTCCACTATCCTCCATCCCATCTATTTCTACCATAAGGTTTTGCTGTTTTTTTTGTTAAAGAAAGGATTCAATTGCAAAGAATGGGGAAGAGTGACTCCTGCTACCCCTATCCCAGTTACTAAGCTTTGCAGGAAAGACAAGAGAAACTGATGAGGTAACAAAAAAGGAAAGCAACCATTTTAAACTTCTTTTCCTGCCCCCTATGTTTTGCCTTTTAAACAGCATTTGGGGGCCCACCAGCCAGTTGAAATTCGTACTTTCTATTATCAATAGATAAAATGGAAGGTGTTTAAAAACTCTCAATGTAGCTCTTTTGCAATAGTATTTGAAAGTGGCTATTGCACCACAAATGACTACTGATAGGGCACCCTTCAGAAATATCTTCCCCTCTCCCCCGCTTATGTGGAATAGAGTGTACTTTGAATTTTTCCCCATTTTATCTACCATCACCAATTTTTCATACTGGGAGCTCAAAAGAGCATAAAATCCTTCTAAAATGTAGTCTTCAAGTTCACAAAACAAAAACAAATGAAGACATTTAGTGTTAGGGATCAAGATTTTCAAAAAGTGACTAGTGATGTTTGGTGCCCCACTTGGGACACCTGGGTCTTTATTTTCCAAAAGTGCTGACCATCCACCCTCTAAAATTCAGGGACCTTTAAATCTGTGCACAAGAAAGTTAAGGTTTTCTAAAACTCACTACTGACTTTTGAAAATATCGGCCATGATACATTATAAGAGACATAAATTATGTCAGAGTGTGTATACCTAGGCCATACATAAGTCTCTCCAGTAGACATGAAGGCACTACCTTTAATGTTGTGTTAGAATTATCCCAGAAATCCATCTAATTATGACTAACATATTTTAGCTAAAGCATATTTGTACAGTAAAGAGTTTGACACCTGATAAAAGTCTGTTTTCTCTGATATTAGCTTTAGAACGCCAGGAGCAATTGGAGGAACTGTGACCATCTGCAGTCTCCCAAAGAAGGGGTTGTGTCCAGAGATTTTATACCGCTTCATTCTGTCTTCAATCACAAGTGCCAGTGACTGAGAATGGTTGATAACTTCAAGCAGCGTGGAGATGGACACATTCTGAATGTAGCAGTCATTTACGCAGCAGCATATCGTCATTAGGGATTTAAGCCACAGAGGGAAGCTGGTATCACAACCTCCTCAGAAGACAGACAGGGAAAAAAATGCTTTTATAATATTTAAATGTTAGATTACTTTATCAGACATTTGTCAAATCTGAAGATGCCATGGAATTTACCTTCCCACAAAATCATGAGCTTTATAACAACTCTTATACACCTCTACCCCGATATAACGCTGTTCTCGGGAGCCAAAAAATCTTACCGTGTTATAGGTGAAACTGTATTATATCGAACTTGCTTTGATCCGCCGGAGTGCGCAGCCCTCACCCCCACTCCCCGGAGCGCTGCTTTACCGCGTTATATCCGAATTCATGTTATATCGGGGTAGAGGTGTATTTCAATGTGTAGCATTAGCTTGACCTACTAAAATATGTTATGTACTACCCTTTTATTCTATTAAAAGAGTTTATGCATATGTTTTAGGCTCTCCTAACACCAATTAAATTTTATTATCCACTAAGATATCATGAAGCAGCCCAAAAGAATAGGAAAAAACATTAAAACAGCTAACCAACATAGCAAATCTCAACATTCTACCAAGAGCCCCATCCTCTCAACACCTCCCCTCCCCCAAATGCATGCATTTTCGTTGTATATTCTGTTACATTAATGGTACTTCCATTAACAGCTAGACTAATTTGTTTGAGAGAGGAATATGTTGGGGTACAATTAAAAGTAACTAAATATAAAGGTCCTAAAACACAAGCACCTCAAAAATTGTAATAGGAAAGTCACGGACAAGATTTGGTAATAATTATAAATATAACGCTTTGGACTTTTAGTAACAAAAATCCCCTGACAAATCCATGTTTGTAGAAGACTGCTAGTGCCTCATTATCTACTTTGTGAGAAGAATGTCTGGGCTCAATCAAATGAAAAAAGACCAACCACGCTGAAAATTAAGCATGTGTAATATTTTTTAAATTAACATTATTCATTCTCCTATTCATGTAGCTTCTGTATGAACTATCTTACAGAAAGTTACTCACTCCTCCCTTCCTTACTACAAATTCTCTGATTTAGGAGTGAGGTTATTTTTTCTTCCTTGGAAACTCTTTACTTTCTATGGACTATGTAGAGGAAAAAGCCCTAAAAGCCCTAAAAGTCAGAATGCCCATATTGACTCCAACATGATATCCTGGAAACTCAGAAGCTATATGACTCTAAACCCTTTAATTAGAACACTTGACATAACTGAAGTGTCTTCCATCGGAGCATCTCAAAGAACTGAGGGCTAGTCTACACTGGCAACGCTAAAAAAACCAAAACCACACACAACACCTCCACGAGAGGTGTAGCTCCCAGCGCTGGTGCACTGTTTACACTGGCACTTTACAGTGCGGAAACTTGCTGTGCTCAGGGGGGTGTTTTTTCATACCCGAGTGAGGAAGTTGCAGTGCTGTAAATTGCCAGTGTAGACAAGCCCCAACGTTGAAGACACAACTGTCCAGGGAGTAGGTAAGTATTATCCCCATTTTACTGATATCAGAAATCTGTCGCAAAACCAGAAGCAGAACCCAGATCTCCCATTGCCCCACTCCTGTGTCCACCACAAGCCTATCTTTTCTATCTTACCCTCTTCCAGGGGAGTAGCTGAACTATCAATGGGAACCAGCCCTAATTATGCAATTTGTTCTGATGCTGCATGTTAGCCCGTGTTGACCCTCTTTTCCCAGGGAACCCTGAGGGGGTGGGGCGAATTGTTTTATCCAGGACCAGAACACCAAAGTATTTCAAAAGAGAACAAAGTGGATTTCAAAAACTGCAAAATACACTCAATTCTAAAACATAAGATGCACTCTAATATGGGCATGTCTTGGACACAGTAAGCAATTTGCCTTCAGTCTCTCCCCATATCCCTCCAAATACCCAAATGTACTACAACTGCATTCATCATACACACCCTGTCATATTATATTGTGTACACATTCTTGGTTGTGTCTAGTACATAGTGCATTTAGTTTGTAGTACAATTTACATTTTGGGACACTGAAATTATTTGTCTAAGACACTTCTTACCAGGAACTTGAAACAGAGATAAATACAATTGTTCTGTTTCTTCCTCAGAAAGGTAGACTGGGAAAGTAGTACAATCCAGTAGAAGGTGACAAGCAGCAGCAAAGGCCTCTCTGCAGTCTTCTTTCATGTCCCCCAAATCAAGCATTACCTGCTCAATGTCCCATTCTTCTTTTCCCTTTTTGCTACCAAGGTCACGGTTTGCAGGGGAGAGAGGCTCCAGACTTTTCTGTTTAAATGGTGATCCTCGAACTGTGAACAAGTCTGAAAGCATTTGTTTAAACTGCGGTACGGTAATTTGCTTTCCTTCCCAGGGGTTCTTTTTCTTGCTAGCATTTTCAGCGACTCTGTAATTATTTTCTTTCTTCTCTCCTCTGCTCATGTTTGCTATCGAAATTCTGCCATTTCCTGGATCTTGTAAATGCACCCCAAAAATGTATTTACTGGCAAACTTATCAACTAACTCTTGGATACAATGCAAAGTCCTCTGAATACTCCCCCCATTTTTCCAAACATCATCCCTTTCAGGAGTCACTCTTGGCAATCTTAAGTGTTGAGAGAGCTCTGGGGATGAGGCACTTAGACCTATGCCACTGTCTTCAGACTTGAGGGGAGCGAAAGCAGTGTCATCTTCATCCTGTAGTGCAGGCTTGGTTTCTAAAGTTATATCACTGTTTTCTTGTTTCACTGGGCTCTGAAATGGAAGCAGTGAGTGTCTATTTCATTACACTGTATTTTTGGAGTTTCTTTAAATAACTGAAATCACACTTGGGGCAGCAGGGGGAAAAAAGAGTGTAGGACAGGAATCCCTTCCCTTCTGCCCTGATAACTTGTGCAGTGTCTTTGTGAAAGTGGTATCAATAGACTTGTAAGAGTTATGGTCCTGCTGATGACTGCTGTTTAGCCAATATTCTCTTTTTTGGGGAACATCCTATGGCCTGTGTTATACAGAAGGCCAGATTACATGGTCACAATGGTCCCTTCTGGTCTTGGAATCTATGAATCTCCTGAATTTATGAATAAACCACCTTATCTGGCAATTGTTGGAGCCAAAGAGATATTTATATGAAATAGTTAGATGTGGCTATTGATGAGTGGCTCTGTTGCATTGAAGACAAAACTATACTTGTTTTAAAACTACACCTCACACCTCCTCCTCTCTGAGGCTCTGGGCCATGTTCAGCACTTTCACGATCTAATGTTGTGCAATAGCAGCCCAACAGGAAATTTAAGAAGTGATAAAGCGTGGAAGGAAAGGGTTTCCTTGTTATGCCATTGATTATAACGTCAATAAAGCAGTGACTGCCAAGTCTGATTGTTTCTAACTGTTATTTCTATTCTTGTATTATTGCTCATCATTAGCAAACTGTGTAGTTTGTTTTCTACCTGTATCACACATTAATTATTTGCCATGTTCTTGTGAGCTTAACAATTTGTTGTATTAACATGCATCTTGTAGCAGGCCAGGTAATCTTGATAGCAAAAAGGCTGGGCTTGATCTGGCCACTTCAACTCTTTATTTCAAATGCCCCAGGGCATCTTACCAGTACATTGAGTAGCATCCACAGAAGACCGGGCTCTTTTCAGTGGATGGGATGGAGCAGGAAAGGGGTTTGCACCACATCCTAATTTTAGACAACACTATGCCTTTGCACGGCTTAGGCAACAAGTCAATTAAGGTTGGGGTTGGTGCCCAAAATGAGACCAGCTCAGATACATGGCACAAAGTGGATCAGAGCCTATGAAAGGGGCCTAAACAGGAAAGACTCAAGAAACTATACTGCTGCGATGAGTAACCTACATTTCAGTTAGAGTAGAAAAGTTAGTAGCATACCTTATTTTAATAATGCAAATTCTTTTATGGAGAGTACAACACTTTTGATTTGTGAATAGTTATTTATAAGCAAATATGCAACAGGCCTTGCAGCAATACCTACCGAGTTTTCACTTCCGGTCTCATTATCCAAGTAGGCAGGAGGCATTTGTACTTTGCTAAGCACTTTGAAGCAGGTCTTTAAAGCATGAGTGAGTTCTGGTAAACTTAGAGTCTCCACATTCTCCAGAAGAGACTGTACCATGTAACTGAGCATCTGTGGGAGATACTGAGTCTGCACTTCAGAGTAAAGTTCCTAAAATAAGCAGGGATTTAAAGTAGTTAAATGCTAAATGGCTTAGCAGACAGAAATGGATTTTACCATTGTCAAGCTGCCTAATATAAAGTCTAACTTCAGTGAGCATAGATGTGACTAATACATGTGCACATTGAGTTAAGTTACATATAGTTGCTTTAAATAGTTCTACTACTCCACTCAATGCTGAACATAGAACCAGATCCTAGTGTTGAATGGAATTTGACTACTGATAATAGCCTTGCAAAACAGTCCAAATAATATATCCACCCAAGCAGCAAAGGGGAAAAAAACCCTGACAATACATGGCATATATATCCTTTAAAATAGGATACAGTTAATGAATTTTTTTTTTTTTGGATGGGCAAATAAAATGAAAAGTAATCACCCACAAACAAGTGGGCATACAGAACTTTGCAAGTCATGCATGAGTTACCAGTCAATTCTAATTTCTATTTCAGTAAATTACAGTTTTATTATAAGTATCCAGTTATAATTAGAAAATTTCAGTAATTTACACAAGTTCATTATTCGTATGTAAGTCATCTAATCAATATATTGATTTTCCAGGGAGTGCTGGTATTCCGAAACTGAGTTTATATATTTGTCAGATAACTTACAAAGATATTTGTCTATTAGCTGAGAAGCCCCAAGCCATTCTTATTAGGAGGATATGTTGCATACCATGCTGATAGTAAACCCCCCATTAACACCTCAGTCCTATACACGCTGAGAAGGCTAGGAACAAAGTTCTACTCTTGGTTTACATGACATTAAGTGGTCTTGAATGGAACTCCTCACACGAGTAAGAGTGGGCAGGATTTGGTTCAAAGGATTGTGTATTTATTCATCAGTTTTCTTTTCAAATGAATATGTAGTTCCTCCATTAAAAAAAAAAAAATGTATCCACCAAAATAAAAGCAATACTTCTGTGTAACTGAATCTTATCTGATAAAAGGGAAAGAAAATGAGAGTTAGGACTCTAAATGATTAACTTTAGGTCAAACTTGTCTTACCAAAGGAATCACATCAAGAAGGAACAACAGTAGTGTGCAGAGCTCTGAGATTGTAGGAGGAGTGCTGACATTCTCAGTAGGGTATCTTGTCTGCATGGATTTATTCCTGGCATTGAAAGAGAAAGTGTGGTTTATTTATTTATTTTTTTAAAAAACCTAAACCTAAATGTACTTTATATTGGCATCCGTGCTAACTACACAAGCCAAGAAGGCCGATTTGTATCCACCATCAACTTGGCTGTTTAAGTCAAGTACTTATCAACGTTTTATTGTGATCACAAAGTTGTGTACAGTTTAGCATCCTAACATATGGTAGTTAAGAGAAGTACAACACCACATTGTATTATCTTGATCAAAATAAGCACCAGTTTCTTCTCTTCTTTAAGGTTCATATTAGATACTTAGCAACGTTACCCATTAGTCTAATTCCTCTCTGCTGTGCTGAGGAAACCCCCAACTATTAGTAGCCTAGCATATAAAGGGATATTTTCTGGGAATTTCATCTTCTGAAGACAAAAAGTTATAAAACTCGCATAGACAAGAGCAGAGTAAAGGAAGAGTGCTATTATGCCATTCCAATAAATACTGGCTCATTTCAAGCACTAGTTATGGTGCTTAAATACTATGCTGACTGACAGGACACCTCCTTTCAATTACCTAATTAGGTTTAGAATGAAAATACACTCATACTTAATTGCACACTTTGGAGGAAGCACTTTTCCATTAAAATTTTGATTACAGTTAAATAGGTGTACCTATTCTAAAAACAAAAGTTTGGCCACCTTGTGTGCCTCTTAAACAATATTAATTTCATTTCTACATAGCATGTGAGAAGACACTAGGCCAGATTCTTCTGTATGGGGAGTTGCTGTATGCTGTATTTTATGTATATTAGCTGAAAAAACAAAGTGGCCAGGAAAGATCATCCTAGTGTAAGTATGATCTTATCCCATGTGATCTCCTTGCTTTCTACTTATGAACATGCAGTTTTTCCTCCAGAAAACAACCATGTTGCTTTTTGGAAAGAGTGACCAAACCATGGCAGTTTATTTTGTATTTAGAAACAGCTGCCTCAGATTTAACTACTTGTATTAGATGGTGAGTACAGTATCCAACCATGCATCTCTCTGCTCCTTTGGTTAGGATCATGGCACTGGCATTTGAATCTTTCATTGACACTTCTCTGTTGTCCTAGCTATGTAATTCTTAATTTATTTTTGCATTAATGCCAGACAGGATAACTACCTGAAGCAGTCCTCAAAACATCTGGTCATATAATCCCATAGAAAATCTGTACTTAGGGATGTGATCAACAAGTTGACTGTTTTAACAATTTCTGAGGCACTTCTATTCTCTTTGATCGCACTGTAAGAAGAACAAAAATGATTAGTGAAGACTAAACAACAAGTATACATATTTTTGTATTATTTGAACTATTCTTAGAAAGTTGGCCTGAAGAAAAGACATGAAGTTCCTTAATTCAAAACAACCATTTTGGAATAGCTAAATTTTGCAAGTGTTTCTGAAGACACGAGAAATCTTTAACCTTTAATTTGATTTTGGGTATGTCTACACTACACACCGGATCGGCGGGTAGTGATCGATTTATCAGGGATCGATTTATCGCGTGTAGTGTAGATGCGATAAATTTATCCCCGATTGCTCTCCCATCAACTGCTGAACTCCAGCTCGGCGAGAGGCGGAAGCAAAGTCGACGGGGGAGCTGCGGCAGTTGACCCCGCGCCGCGAGGACGTGAGGTAAAAGTCGAACTAAGATACGTCGACTTCAGCTACGCTATTCTCGTAGCTGAAATTGCATATCTTAGGTCGACCCCCCCCCCCCAGTGTAGACCAGGCCTTTGTGAACTAAAAAGTTGAGCTCTGTCAACACATTTATGTAATAAATCTGATGTTAGAGAGACAAGGTGGGTGTATGTATTTATGTATGCAACACTGCATATATAAATATGATGTTATCAGCCAAGCATCTAAATCAATGATCTCAAATCCTCTTGGTTGGAAGAGAACAACCCTGTGATGCTAAAGGAGAACTCAGGGTAGGAAATATAAAGTAAAATAAAAAACAGATTGGAAAAAAAAAATCAATGATTTTCATTTTTTTTACATCAAAAAGACACTGTTAGAACTTATGCTATTAACAAACAGGTAAGATTTACCCAATGTGATTATTGAATACACCTCTACCCCGATAGAACGCTGTCCTCGGGAACAAAAAAAAAATCTTACCGCGTTATAGGTGAAACCACGTTATATCGAACTTGCTTTGATCCACTGGAGTGCGCAGCCTCGCCCCCCCCCGGAGCACTGCTTTACCGTGTTATATCCGAATTAGTGTTATATCGGGTCGCATTATATCGGAGTAGAGGTGTAGTTTACTTTAGTAAGCTTTCTTATGAAAGATACAATTTCAACTATTAGTTGAAAATGGTTACGGTATACCTTGTAAGTACATTGCCACTTTGACTGTAGCTAAGTTTAAGATCAGAACCCAGGGCATCCTTGCAATAAGAATAAAAGGCTCGAATCACTTCAAGGAACAAATCCCCAACAACTTGTGGCCCTGCAATCAAAGGAAAATTAAATCCAGTAATTACCCCAAACTGATTACAGAACTAATCAATTACAAGCTTTTAGTCTAAAACTGAACTTCTGATTATAAAGAAAATGTACTATCCCATGGTTACTTATGAGAAGTACGGGGATGAGACAATTTTCTATGACATTTTAAACTACTATCCAGATTCCGCTTGTGAGATCAAAAATTTGCGTATTAAATAACTTAGTTTTGTACACCTTAATAGAATGTGAGATTGCCAGAATTTTACAATTTTTTGTGAAGCTGCTTGAAAAGTTGGCCTGTATATTCCATATGTCACTTCAAAAGATCACAAGGTAGTTGCTTAATAAATGCCTGCATTGTTTTTAAATCACTTCAGACATTTATATAAATGTGTGCTAATGACATTTAATATACAACGTGCATGTCTCAAATGACAATTGTACAGTCAAATTCCAGGGGGTTCCCACTGCCAGTTTAATATGCTGGCATTACAATGAAGTCTTCAACTCCATACATGGAAATTTGAACAGTTGGTAGGATCACACAGGTTAACACATGGAGAAGAGAAAAAAAGCCTATCAAGGAAAAAAGGATCAGAAATACACTAAGGAAGGCCTGATTTTCAGAATGGCTGGCAACTGTAGTTCCCATTGACTTTAACTGGAATTGTGGGTGCTCTGCGCTTTTGAAAAGCAAATCCGTAGTGCTAACAGCACATCTGAGGCCCAGCCATGAACCTCAAGAAGCTGCATAGGACTAATACTTCATGCTTATGTGACGCATGGCTAGAAAGGGTTAAACATCCTGTAAAATAAATAACCCTCAAAAGACATGTGGGCAGATAATGTTTGAGTTTTTGTGTATTTACATATATATTAATAGGGTCAACAATGTAATCAACAGTCCCTGTCTATGTTGTATTCTGTTAATTCAGAGATCAAAAGAACATCCTGGCATTTAAATGAATTGTTAACACAGGATATCTCTGTATTCATTTCTCTTTGAAATGTTTAGCAAGTCATCTGTGAATGGTGGAGGAACAAGCAAATTGCCTTATGTTAATCTGTATGGCTAAGTACCGGTGATGGACCTCCTTCAAAGTCATGCTAATTACCTTTTGTTCCCAGAGGAATTCCAACTTGTCAAAAAAAGGACATGAAATTGTATAAAAGATCCTTGGGTCCTGATCCTGTTCATCTCAAATCTGCTTAGGCTTCATCAGGGGAAGTTTGAGTCGCAAGACTGAGGTCCCAGTTATGCTGGAATACCCTGAATATGATATTTGGACATTGGAGTAGAACCTATGGACTATTTCTGAAAGAACTCTTTGCAACTACAAAGCTCACCATCTCTGCTATGAATCTGCACCTCAATGAATTGAACTCATGTCTGTAAGTATATTGATCTTTTAACCACACTCTCTCTAGTTTTTTAATAAATTTTAGTTTAGTTAATAAGAATTGGCTGTAGTGTGTATTTGGGTAAGATCTGGAATATTCAATAACCTGGGAGGTAATGTGTCCGATCCTTTGGGATTGGTAGAACCTTTTCTTTTATATGATGAAATAAGATTTTCAGAAATCATCATATTTGACTTAGGTACCTGGATGGAGGCCTGAGGCTGGATCACTTTAAGGGAACTGTGTTGTTTGGATTTCTGAGTAACCAGTAAGGTAATAAAGCAGCTGTTTTATGCTGGTTTGGTAAATCAAAGTATTGGAATATCCACCAGCTTTTTGGGGATTGTCTACCTCATTCTTTGCAGTTCACCCTAATTGAGTGGCCTCAGCTGGCCCCCACTGGGACCCTGGTCACAGCTTATATAGTGCTTTTTGTTCATAGATCTCAAGGCACTTTACAAGGGAGATCAGCACCATTATTTCCACTGTATAGATGGAGAAACTGAGGCACAGAGAGATGAAGTGACTTGCCCATAGTTACCCAACAGGCCAGTGGGTGAGCCAGGAATAGAACCCAGGTCTCCTGAGTTGTGGTCTAGTGCTCTATCCACTAGGTCACACTGCCTTGAAGAAAAATATTCTCTTTATGTTATGCTCTTTTGCATAGTATCTTTGCAATATATTGATTTCAAAATGAAGTGTCTAATTCACATTGACTTATAAGGCTCAAGAAGCTTTTTAATACTTTTTTGTGTACTACAGAAATAGGAATATTACTAATTTTGTGGTTTAGATGAATGCAGGACAGGTTTTATTTCACTGCTTTTGCTCTTGGATTATAGCTTAGTTTATATCCTAATGTACAAAATATATATTATTTGATTGATCCAATAGTTTTATTTAACAGTGCTTTCCTGCTCAGAAATTTTAAAAAATAAAATAAAATCCATACACCAAACAGTGCTTATACATAACAAAAGGCTCTAAGTGTAACAACTTATATCATATAAATATTTCTTAAGCAAGAAAGCACCCTTTAAAAAGAAATCTACCTGTGTTACAATGTGTCTAAAAGAAAGTCACGCCTGGACAAGAAAAGCAAGCATCCTGTTACATTCACTCAAGAAGTTTGCTTCCTTTGTAGACAAATGAACACTGAACTGAGCGCCTTGAACAAAATCTGTACAAATTTTTTTCACTTGGTAAAGGACAGTACACGTTCATCCTGGTTTTTCACATAAATGCTGTCTGATGTATTGATGAATTTGTAAAGAACAAAGGGGCAAATGCATTGAGAGAGGCAAACAAAGATATTTTCCTCTCCACCATCCATGAAATAGGAGAATCCTCAGACAAATACTAAAAAATTTAAGCCGCTGTCAGCTAAATATTTATAAGCTCATAACATGAATGATTCATTCATGGTATCATCTACACAGATACTGTGATCAAATCTTCATAAGCAGGGTTACCATGCCCAGTTTCCTGCACAGCATTAAAAAACGTCATTTTCTACAGGAGATGGTTTACAGGCATGAGATTCCTTCAGCGAGAAAACAAATCTCGTAAGCAACAAGTTGCCAAAGAGTACACAAATTTCAAATAACCACAAGTTACTCATAAGCATCTTGTGTCTGTCAATGTTCAAGTACAGTAAATACTTCTGAGTAGGTTTTATAAAATATTGGTATATACAGCAAATCAGGTATGTAATCTTGGCACCTGCATAGTATAGGAGGATGTGCTGGCCCTTTATGGGTGAGGCACTGCCAGCTTGCATTATAGGACTGTGGATCTCTTGAGCACATGACAGACTGAGGACGTGACTACTGCGGGAAACAGGATATGCAGATCAGTCAAGGGAGACTCAGGAGGAGCAAGAAGGGCCTAGGGAGGAGGCTTGCCAGGAACAGCGAAAGGTTGGGAAAGACACTGTACAGAAAGAGGAGAGAGTTGCCCAAGAAACTAAGCTAAATGAGATAAGGAGGTGACCAGGGAGGGGTAAGAACTTGTTGTTTTCCTAACAGCCAGAGGGAGGTATGCAGCCTGGGAAAGGGGCTGTGATCAGAAGCAGGCAAAGACCAAAGAGAAAGTCAGATCAGCGACAGGATTGTAGAAAATAGCCCCCGGGTGGGGAGTTGAGCAGAATATTGAGGCTGAAATGGATGGCTGCTCTGCAATATAGGACCCAGGGGCTGGAACCTGGGGTAGAGGAGGGACTGCACCATTTGGAGATGATTAACAGAAAGCCTTCTATACATCATGTCATCACTATAGTACAGCAGTTCTTAGCAGTCTGTGTCAGTAGTGATATTTAATATTACCTATTTCAGGTTTGTCAAGGAGACTAATTAGGATACGGAAAGGTTTCAGATATGCATGATCTTCTAAGGCAGCCTCTGAGAGCTTCTGATGCAATATTTCAATCAAAGCCTGTTAAAAGAAAACACCAAAATGTGACAACTACTAAGGAGAGATACTGTCATTTTATTAATAATTTTAGGTCTGGATTCTTGCACTAGGTGCCAAACTTAGATTACTAAAACAGAATAGGGGGGAGAATAAATTAATTCAGATAATCAAGGAAATTTTCAGTTTATTTGATACATACGCAAGAAAGTTTTGGATAAACAGGATTTGTTTTTAGTAATTCAGGTAGGCTAGCGTAGACGGAACTGACAGTTTTCATTAGATTCCATTTACATCGCATGCCCATAAAATGGAACAAAACAGCACAACATGCGTTCAGACTTCCTGTCAAATGAATACAAAATAATGATCTCCTCCCATCTGTTATAGTTCAGGAAGAGAGGCCATGAAGGACATACAGTGAACAAGATAAACAGCAGTTTGTTCTGAGGTTTAACAAAATAAATACCAACCTCAACTAAAAGATCTTTGGAATATTTTCCAAAAAAATAGAGGGCATGATCTTCAAAAGCTGCAGAATCTGGAGCAAAAGTACCGCCTTTAATATCAGAGCCTACAAATTAAATAAAAACAGCATGAGTACAGAAAATACTGATATAACATACATACCATAAAACAAGCAATAGAAGCAATTATATTCATTTTAACCTGAATTTGTCCAAGTAGTAGTTTATGCTCCAGTCCAGGCTGAATGCCTTCAAAAAATGTGTGCTTACGTGGAGGCCAACCACCAAGTAACTTGTGTGTCATCTGCAGCTTGGGCCTCTTTCTAGGGCCTCTAATACAGGCTATGACTGAACCATGCAGATATTTCTGCATAACATCTAAAATATTTTCCTATCCATCCACACAGCTAAAACTCTTGTGCAGGCTCTCATGTCTATTACTACAACATTCTTCTCTTTGGCCTGGACAAATGCAATCTTGCCGCCCTTGGATTCAAGTAGAAAGTTGCTGCAAAGATCATTTTCCCTACTGGTTGTTTTGACCACATGACCTCTCTTTGCATCCCTTCACTGGGCTCCCTCTCCTCTAGCACATCAAACATAAGCCACTTGTCCTCACTTTCAAGGCCCTACATGGGCTATCCCCACCCTACCTATCATCTCTCAATCACTACTGAGATGTCAACTCCTGCCTCCAATTAGTCTGTGATGCCAGACTCCATTGCCCATTTGTTAAAATTTTCAAACAAGCACCTTTGTGCCTTCTCCCACATTCCCGTGATACTCAGGAGGAAGTCCCCATAAACATCTGCAAAACTGTCTCACTCACATCCTTTAAAAAAAAAAAACCCTTAAAACTCTCCTTTTCTGTGATACCTACACAAAAAACTTGATAATGGCTGTGATACTGGAGTATTGAGATCAATGCCTATTATGACCAATATTGTCTCATTGTTTCCTGGTTCTCCCGCCCTCTCTCTGGGCTTGTCTACACTGGCAATTTACAGCGCTGCAACTTTCTCGCTCAGGGGTGTGAAAAAACACCCCCCAGCGCAGCAAGTTTCAGCACTGTAAAGCACCAGTGTAGACAGTGCACCAGCGCTGGTAGCTACACCTCTTGTGGAGGTGGTTTTTAGAGAGTGCTGGGAGAGCTCTCTTCCTGCGCTGCACCACGACCACACGAGGCATGTTAAAGCGCAGCCGCAGCAGCGCTTTAGCATTGCCAGTGTAGACTAGCCCTCTGTCTATATCCATCTGTTGTCTCTTGCCTTATACTTAGATTGTAAGCTGCTTGGAGCGGGCACCATCTTTTAGCTCTGTCTTTGTACAGCGCTTAGCACAATGGGATCCTGGTGATTATGGTAATATATGTATCACCATCATCAACAGCTAATCAAATCCCTCCCAACCCTTGAAATGGTGTCGGCCTGAAGCATCCTTCTGGAAGTGAAAGCTAGAGATAGATAGATCCCTTCAGAGCCGATCGAAGTCGTCGCCTCCTCCCTCCCCACAGAGATTAAGCAACTGGATAGAATTCTGGCTCCATGAGATCAATGAGAGTATTGCTACTGACTGCACCAGGGCCAAGATTTCATCATGCTATTTTCTGTGCCTCTTCTAAAACCCGGACACCCTTGTGAGTTATGACTGAAGCTTTAGATCCAACATCAGTTCTCTGCAGGACAGAGCATTGCACTAGCAATAAGAACATAAGAAGAGCCATACTGGGTCAGACCAAAGGTCCATCTAGCCAGGTATCTGTCTTCCAATGGTGGCCAATTCCAGGTGCCCCAGAGGGGAAGAACAGAACAAGAAATCATCAAGTGATTCATCTACTGTTGCCCAGTCCCAGCTTCTGGCAAACAGAGGCTAGGGACACCATTCCTGCCCATCCTGGATAATAGCCATTGATGGACCTATCCTCCATGAATGTATCTAGTTCTTTTTTGAACCCTGTTATTGTCTTGGCCTTCACAACATCGTCTGGCAAGGAGTTCCACAGGTTGACCGTGCACTGTGTGAAGAAATACTTCCTTTTGTTTGTTTTAAACCTGCTGCCTATTAATTTCATTTGGTGACCTCTAGTTCTTGTGTTATGAGGAGTAAATAGCACTTCCTTATTTACTTTCTCCACACCAGTCATGATTTAACAGACCTCTATCATATCCTACCTTAGTCATCTCTTTTCCAAAATGAAAAGTCCCTATTTTATTAATCTCCCCTCATATGGAGAGAAGAGACAACCAAGCCAGCCTGGTATTAAGGAGTCTTATAAATGGAAGACTAACTTGGTAATTATTGTTATCAGTTTGTTACTGAAACTATGTTATCACCATTGTAATTTTAATTGGGATAAGATTTTGATTCCGATTCACTACTTTAAAGCAACCCTTTTTTCTACTTGACAACAGCTCACATACTACAGTTTAATAATTGCATCTGTACAGAATTGTTGTAGATACTCTTAAATGCTATGGTATGTAAATCGAGATTCACAGATTACAAAGAACAATCATTTCTGCTTCAAATTCAGGCATGTTTGCTCTCTGACTAAAGTTATCTCCCAAACTTGTTATAGACATTCCGAGACTGAATTGTGATGAGGGATATCAAGTATTTGTTAGAGACACTAAGATTTAAGAAGGCAGAATTTATTTATCAACTGAAACAATATTGGCTTAATAGAATTCTCAATTGCAAAAGAGTTGTCATTTATGAACAGAATGAAGAGACTTCTATTATTTATCTCTGGAAAAGTATATTCAAATGTAGTGGACAAAGTACAAATTAGATATTTACACTTAATGTCACCACATATTGCACAGTACCTAGCAACCACGCATATAATCTTCTATTTAGTGACATGTCTCTCCTCAAGAGTGTTTGTGTAGCTGCTGAGAGAATATGGACTACATCAGACCTGAGCAGTGGAATAGCACTTTCATTGTAGTCCTAGACAAAGAATAAAGACAACTTAGCTGTAGGTGAACTGTAAAATTCACAATTAACTAATTTCTAATGGCTACCAGTATCAGATATAATACTGACAAAGATATGTTAATAGATCTAGCCTACTAAAGGAGAACAGGGACAAACCATCAACAACCTGCAATTTAAAATCTCAGTAGAAATTGATCCACTGAAGTCTTCCTTTAAAATTGTGTGGTCATTTTCAAATTTTTATTGCATAACCACAATTAAGACATCAAGCCTAATTAAGAATTAACCAATTTTGTTACTCACTAACAAACTAAATTAGCTGACATCTTCAACACTAGGATGATGCTAGGAGACAAACTAGCAAAAAGTAATAGGGGAAAAATCTATTTGATTTTGCAAATACTGTGTAAATATTTTAATTTAGTCCAGACAACCCCAACCACTTAAGAACTCTTAGCTGGGAAAAATAAAAATACAGTTAATTTCCTATACATAGTTGCTCAGGCTTGAGCTCTTCACATTTTATGTTAGCAACCCCCCAAGTGTGTGTTTAAGAACACCAGTGGTGTCTCAGGCCTAATGGATGGTAACCACTATGTGGGACTTTGGGGAAACAAAGTGGATGCCTGACCCTGCTGAAGTCCACAGCCAGAGGTGAAAATAAGCTGGTACAGTACGGTATGGCATACAGGCAAGAGCCAGTACACCGTGCTGGACCGCACCGGCTTCCGCGGTGGGGATTTAAAGGGCTTGGGGCGGGGAGCTCCAAGCCCTTTAAATCCCGGCCCCAGCCCGGCAGCCAGGCTCGGGCAGGGATTTAAAAGTCCTGGAGCTCCCAGCCGCAGCGGGGAGCCCAGAGCCCTTTAAATCCTGGCCCCAGCCCAGCCACCGGAGCTGCGGGAGGGATTTAAAGGGCTCTTTAATTTGCCCCTGAGCCCTGGGGGCTCCCAGCCACCTCGGCAGCTGGGAGCCCCAGGTTGATTTAAAGGCCCTGGGGCTCCCAGCCACAGACGGTGCCCCAGGGCCTTTAAATCTTGAGAGGCCCCGCCTCTTCCGGATGAGGCCCCGCCCCCCTCAGGGTACCAGCAGTACCGGTAAATCCTGTATGTTACTTTCACCCCGTCCACAGCCAAACTAGTGACTGCAAATGGTGCAGGATTAGACCCCAAGGATATGTCTACATGGGGAGGGGAAGAAACAAAAAACAAAACAAAACCCCCCCCCCCCCCCCCCCCCCCAGCCTGCAGCAGCAAGTCTCAGAGCCCAGGTCTACAGATTTGTGCTTGTGAACCTCATGCTATGGCACCAAAAATAATCACGTAGATATTCCAGACTGGGCTGGAGCTCAGGGTCAAACCCACTCCCCTCCCCAGGCTTCAGAACCCAAAGACCAACCCAAGCAGAAATGTCTATGTGGCTATTTTTATGGCCACAGTGTAAAGTTCCATGAGGTCAAGTCTGTAGAACTGAGCTCTGAGACTTGCTTCTGCAGGGTTGTTTTGGGTTTTTTTGTCATATAGACATATCCTTAGAAAGAGAAAATAACTGGTGTATATTCACAGGAATATCTAGATTATGTAGGACCCTACAAGAATCTTCCCTCAGTAAGATCTTATCCTTCCGCCAATAAAATGTAATCATAATGACATTCAAATAATGCTCTTACCAAAGATGTATAAAATGGAAAAAAGAAGAGAAGCACTTCCAAAGTGTTTCTTTGCACAAGAACATTTGAATCCAATACTGATACACGCAAAGATTTTACCTGTAATTTGAGAAAGAAACATAATACCATTTTATTTATAGTTATAATCATTACCTAAATTATGAATATTGTTGACAGCTATTAAATATTTTAATTATTTATTTTATCTTCTAATAGGAATACCAACATCAGTACCTTTACTTGGTGTGACGTTATATGATTAAAATGTGACCATGTATATCAGTGTTGCTACCACTGTTATGCAATAGCAAAAAATCCTGTGCAAAGTATGTCATGTAAAGTGTCAATGGAAAAGTTGTGATTTGCTGAATAGGATTATCCTGTTTGTACGCATTTATCTTTTTTGTACCTGAAGTTATGAGTATTGACTATATACCTTTATTTCAAATGTGTTTGCTCCTGTGATAACTAAAGTAGTTTATATCTAAGTCTAGCTAGCACAGTGTGACTGGACCATTAGAGCTGATGGCCCATCAATGAACACAATGGGCCATGGAAGAAGTTTATCCCCGCAGGATGGGCCTTCCGGAGGACATTTTAGCCAGAATATGGGTAATGACTCCTGGTATGACTCATCACAGCATGCAACGGCATGTGACTTGCTCATGTGACTCTGGACTCCATCTTGTTCCTGTACTTTTCCACAAACTAAGGGTTTGTCTAGACTACCACTTTCGTTGGTAAAACTTTTGTCGGTCAGGGGTGTAAAAAAAGCACTCCCCTGACCGACAGACGTTTCCGTGGCAAAAGTGCTGGTGTGGCCAGCGCTATGTTGGCAGGAGAGGCTCTCCTGACAACATAGCTAATGCCGCTCGTTGCGGGTGGTTTAACTATGCCGGCAGGAGAGCTCTCTCCTGTCGGCCAAGAGCAACTACACGGGAGACCTTACAGCGGCACAGGTGTACTGCTACAGCTATGCCGCTGTAAGGTCCGTAGTGTAGACATAGCGTAAGACAGAGTTTTCCCTCCACATGGGAGAAAATATAAAAGGCCCTGGAACATCTCCATTTTGCCTCTTTCCTGCTCTGATCTCTGGACTACAGACTTACGCTAAAAGGAGCATTCTAATCAATGGACTGAGGACCTTCCAATCTTTTGGATGTTACCAGAGATATTATAAACCAGCAGTTCATTTCATCACTGCTTCAAACCCGATCCAAGAACTTTGCAATGCATGTATCTATTTGATTCCTTTGACCATTTGAACTCTCTCCTCTTTCTTTTCTCTTATAAATAAACCTTTAGATATTAGATACTAAAGGATTGACAACAGTATGATCATTGGGTAATTTCTCAGCTGTTTGTCCTGCATCTGGCATCTTCAGCTGTGACCCACTGAGGCATGGCGACACTTGGAAAGCATCGAAAACTACATATTTAAAGAGAACTTTCTTTCCACAAATAGGAGAACATAAAAATGATTCAGCTTTATATTGTTTCCATATATAATGATTAGCATTTCCACATATCTGGGTAGGCCACAATTTTGAATATCTGATGCCTGCCAATGCATCTTGAGATGACACATCCTGTCTGATGATTAGTTACAGTTATTCCAGTATTTCTGGTAAAACGATAGGTAATTTAAAACCTATGAAACATTTTTCAATTTCAAGAAAGGAAATTAAATACAAGACAATAGATACTGGAGTTCTCCTGTTGGTTTACTGCTGTTTGGTTTAGTTGTATGTTATTTTAAATAATGTCAAAAGGTGCACAGTGTTAAAGTTAAAAAAAACAAGAACATCTTAAACACTGTGTCTGACGTACAATGACAGAGTTTGACATTCCATTCCTAAAGGCAAAATGGAGTAAGCAAAGATGGGCATGTCAGCTTTATTTTTCATTTCTTGTCTTTTCTGATTTAGACCAAGTCAAATCCTTAATGCTGTACATAATATTCCTGTAACCAAAGAAACTGCAGCCCAAGGTGAGTGCAGAAATGCTGGGGTTGTAAAGGAGTTTGGTTAAAAATTATCAAGGACATGCCACCCCTAGGCAGTTCACTCCCCCAATGCACCGCTTCTCTACTCATTTCCTATTTTTCAAATTTTTGTCCTACTTTCTGGAGCCAAGAATTATGAGACTCTCCAATCTTCTTCTCCCAAGCACTTCTGGACAACTGCAATAGGTAGGCAGCTAATATTAGTGGTTGCAGAGGATAGTCTTTTCACTAAGTGTAAGAATGCATTGGATCTCACTCCACCTCTCCTTTTTTGTTTTTTATGGTGTATAAAACGGATACTGATTTTGAAATGTTTGTGTACAATGCCTAACACAATAGGGCCTCAATTCTGATTGGAGTCTTTGAGCACTACTGCAATACAACTAAATAACAGGGTTAAAGCAGTTTTACTGTAACAAGGCAACACCATCCATTTCTTATTTGTATCACTGACCATGTTTTTCTAAATGACCTATTTGCCATTCTACATATTGATCAAAGTTCGCAAGAGTTATTTTTCATTATTACCACTTCAGTTGAGATTCTGCACTCATTGAGCAAATTTTGAATTAGACATTTCATTCTCTTACTGATGCTCTTTAAAGAGATTGGGACTTCAATTTGTACGAAGAAGGATAGTGTTTTCCAGTTTGTGTCAGCATTATGGTAGTTGAGAATATCCCACTAGCAACGTCATGAACTTACTGTGAGCTTATAATCAGTTCCCAGCATGTACTTCTGCTGTTTTCCAGACAACTCTCTGTTGATATGACTCACAACAAACAGAGAAGCAGGAAGTCTTATAGAAGGGCTGACCAGAACACTCCCCCAGATAGCAGCATAGAACACTTCTTGGCCTGTTAGTACAGACAGCTTCACAAGCAAAGCATCTGTTCTGTGTGGGGAGAAAAAAAGGTAATAATATTATAAAGATTTGCCTTTCCATGTAAAACATAATGTTAATTCCATTGAACTCTGTCACTGAATTCAAGTGCAATACTTTCAGTTTGTTAATACCGTGTAACTCAGGGTGGGCAAACTACGGCCCGCGGGCTGGATCCGGCCCCTCAGGGCTTTGGATCTGGCCCGCGGGATTGCCCCGTTACCCTTTCCAATATGATTTTGCCATAATGGCAAGTGCTGTAACGAATCTTTTACCATTGTGCGCATTCAATGGAACAATGTTTGTCTGCCCACTTTGGCAACTTCCCCAGCAACTACCCGTTTTGCATAAATGTCTCACAAACTGTAACTGGACAGTAAATAATGCAGTAGTTTCTGGTAGCTAATTCCTGAACCAGTTGCACTGAAAGAATCTCATGCATACTATAAGGACTTGCACAGAATGATGATGATTTTTAGCTGTGTGTTAAGTCACTTTGTTTCAGTGAAACACGCATGCATTTCAGTGTTTGCTCAGTAGCTCATCTCTGCACTAATGCAATATAAATACTTTAACTTTTCATTGGTTGCTATGAAATTTGTACAGTGTACACTTTAATACAACATATTAGGTGATCAGGTTCAATATCTATAGTAGCTAAATTTAAAATATTATTTTAAACATCTAAAAACTGTGTGATAATTATGTCGAGGTTAGCCCAAAGGATCATCACACCCACTTGCCTGAGGAAGAAAAAGGAGTGTGTGAAAGCCTTGACACAGATAGGACAATATCCTGGACAAATATTATAGAATAAAGATAAACTTTACTGAATTAAATGTAATGCCTTTGGGGTCCATTGTATTAAAAAGGCAATTGTTTATATGTTATTGTGGAATTGTATGCCACTTTTCTCAGAGACATGACTAATGAAATCTTTGAGTAGTAGTAAAAACGTCAACTTTTGGGACAGTAAGCATGAAGTAGATTTCCCAGCAAATACTTGAGGTGAGGAGAATGCAAGTGACCCAGCTCTGAGTCCATCCTTTTGAAGCTTTGCTTTGACCAGAAATCCATTGTCTGGTTGACAACCTATTCATGGCCTTTTCAAAAGGCCCAAGTGGGATAAACGAGTGCCTCACAGTCTCATGAGGGTTCTTGTTCTGGGCAAAAGGATGTTATGATCTTGAAACCACAGGAACACCCAATGTGGGATTTTGAAGGACTGCAGGGGCATATGTTGGAGTTGGGATGAGGGATCTCTAGTAAGCTTATTAGCATTTGTGTGGGGTTTTTTTTATTGTTTCAAATTAGTTCACTCTGTAATGCTTTTACCTTGAGACTAAAACGTTCTTGCTTAGAAAGAGCCGTGTGAAACCTTATGTCTGTGGCAATTACACTGTGTATCGTCCCTGAAGAGAAGGCAAAAGAAGCCTGCTTAGGCAGCCTGTCTTTTGTGGAGGATTTCACAGTATAGTCAGGGGACTGTGAAGTGTGGCAATCCCTTAGTCAGAAAGAGGTGTGTGTGTGTGTGTCTCTACCCAAGCGAGGCAATGGCTGGGGAGCTGAAAGCCTAAGGGGATGCCCTGCTGGACCATAGAGGGGGAATACAGATGCAGTTGCCCTGAACTGTGTCAAGCTTCTTCCATCTCTAATTTCCAATTGTTTGCAATAATACTGCATGTAGAATGTAAAGCTTGGTTCTACTCTAACAACCAACCATGTAAAAGAGAAACACCTTTCCTTAAGAAACCTGATTCCAGTGTACATTCAGTTAGCTTACTTACTTTAATGACCACAAAATTTTCACTCACAAAAATTGCTAATCCTGCACAACCAATGTAGCTATGAGTATGTGAGCTGCTATTCTAGTTCACACACAGCAGAATTATTAACTACGTTCTGATTGTAGAAGATGTATTACTGCTTATGTCCGAGCCAAAAAGAACCTAAATTGACTTTCAGATTCTAGTGTAAGCTTACTGGGCTGGTAGTTGGAAAATAACCCCACACATATTTGTACTTGTAAATTGAGCAGACTGAGTTTTAAAATAATAAAATGGACACAAATATGGGATCACACGATATCTTTTTGCAAAGTTGCTTTTCACAGTTTTGCTGCACTTAATGGTTAAATTTCTGTCACATTACACAGACTTCAATACAGCTGAAGTAAAATTTACCCAGCTTAATCGCTTCTGCCTTAAAGTGTTTTATTTACCATTCTTACACAACCAAGAAGAGTAAAACTCAAAAACTAAAGAAAAAACTTGTCATTCGGCTTACTTTGTGCTTTTTGCACTACCATGTAAAGTTATAGTGTTTCACTACAAGAGACTTCACTATGATTAGCCATCCCATTTGTGTGTCCCCAGAGAGACACAGCTAAAAGTGAAAGGGAGAGAAAAAATATTAAAAGAAAGAAAAAGAAAAACGAGATTATAAAACCACAAAAATTGACAGGGGACTTTGGGGATAAAGTGTAGTACCTGAAACTACTGTTAATTCTTACTTCAAACCTAGTGAGTTTCAAATAAATAGAATATTTTAAAGACTTTGGTTAGGTCAGATGAGAAGATGACTTTCATTCAAAAGAATTACTGGGGTCAGAATAAAGAAACTGCACCAATACTTCACTGTATACGGCCAATCGCGGCTCCCACTGGCCACGGTTTGCCGATCCAGGCCAAGGGGGGCTGCGGGAAGCGGCGCAGGCAGGCCGCTGCTTCCCGCTGCCCCCATTGGCCCGGAGTGGCGAACCGTGTCCAGTGGGAGCCGCGATCAGCTGAACCTGCGGACGCAGCGGGTAAACAAACTGGCCCGGCCCGCCAGGGTACTTACCCTGGCGGGCTGCGTGCCAAAGGTTGCCGATCCCTGGTATAAACCAATCTAACACACACACACACACACACACACACACTTTAAACTCACTCTTTTGTGCAGCAGTTGTAGAAGAGGCAACACTTATACTTATCCATCTGCCTAACAGCTGGTAATTCAGCAGTTAAAAGCTAGTTACCAGTCACTAAACAAATGCAGCTTATTCTTGTTAACTCATAACAATAGATGCTAACTGTCCATGTAAATAAAGCTTTTTCTACGCCTTCATGACTTGAGACTGTTTTACAAAGAAACATTACATGAAGCTAAACAAAACATCTTTTGTCAAAACAGACAATTATAACTAAACTCAATTCCACCATTTCTTGGGAAGGAGAACAGAATGCATCAATCTGGAAAACACATACATACTGTATAGGACAAACATTTAGTCACTGTTTACGTATAGAGAGTATTCAGTGAAATATAATGAAAGTTATCTAGGGGTGCAATTCCTGCAACGGGTTGTTGCAAAATAGTTTTGTTACAGCTATTACTTGATGGAAGTACAATCATTACATAACCAAAAGCCTAGTGACTAAGTGTACTGCAACAGGACCTCTTCAACCAGGAATCTAGCATGCATTGCTACAAAGTGTGTTGAACTTTGTTGAACCTGACCACACTAGCTGGTCATCATTTTCAATACCGCATTAAGGGGCTTTGGGTGAAAAAGGCATTTTTGATAGTGAGTTTTAGAAGTGGTACATTTACTAGTGCAGCCAGGACCACAAGGTGGTCTTCTAGTATAGAATGCTTGCAATCTAGATATGTACGGAAAACAGGAACTCCTCTTTATCAAAAGATTTAAGGAGTGCAAAAAACACAGGCTTAGTTTAGTCTGTCAAAAGATCTCCTCAATACCCCATTACAGATTTGAAAGGTAAGTATTCAGAAATTTTGAAAGGAGAGCTGTGATGCTTTCTAAATATAGTGGACGACTCAATAATTTGCCTCAATGCAACTTTCCCCCCAAAGTTTTACTTTTCAATTTCTTTTTATCCTTGTATTTCTTTTCTCCCTTACCCCTCCCCCACATCCCCTTGCATTCATGCATCTGTCTTTCTTCTGTTCCCTTCCAACTTCTAGTATTTTTCCCTTTCCATCCCATCACTCAGTATCCCTCCATTAGACATCCTCCCTCTGGATGAGGATTTCTAGATATGGGTTCCTTCAAAATAAATAAATAAAAATTCAATAAATAGGGAAGGGATTGAGTATTGCATTTTATGTTTCTAAAGTAACAAAAGCAATTCCACCTGTCATAAATTTCCGACCCCTCCTCCAATCCAGGCAGCAGTCCAATTACAAAGGCTTGAAGACTTGGCAAGAGGGACTTCTGCAGAGGAAGAAAATATTTCTCATACAAACCGAGGAGAATAGGCCTCACTGACATTGCTGCATTTGCTAGCAGGGGAAACAAGCCAGAGCTTTAAAAAAAGAAAAAGAAAGATTCAGTCATTTTAAAAAATAATCTATTATGAAATTTTAAGTCTGAGTTTTCAAAGAGCAATTTACCTGTAGAGGAATAAGTCTTTGGCAAGCCATTTTGTCCCAATAATTTTAAAGATGATTTCATAGGTCTCTAGTGCTTTTAAATGCACTCCACTAGGTAAAGCTGGATGTAAGCACTGAGATAATCTCTTACTGATAATCAGACGTCTTGGCAAGAGGGAGTACTTCAGGTTACTTTGAAGAGCCTGCACAAACAGTGGGGATGGGAGAAAAGGAAGGATGGAACAACAAAAGGTTATTGTACATGCATAACATCTAACATTAATCAATAAACACTTTAGCTGAAATAAGCTTTTGTGACAGAAAATTTACTTAGGCCTGGTCTACACTACGACTTTAATTCGGATTTAGCTGCGTTAATCCGAATTAA